GGCTGGGTGTAATTTTTTGATGCAGAATGGAATGGCAGTGATAAATACAGGCTCTCATTAAAATTCCATCAAGAAATATTGTACATTTTTAGTGATATTGATTTGTTGACATAAAATATATATTTTTTTCAGAACTTAAATAACAACAAAATGTTATTTTTATTATAATAAGATATCAAATTTAATAGGTAGGTAGATGTATAAAGTTTTTCAGTGGTAAATGAAGCATTTTTTTAGATGAACTTATTTTGTTTAATAAGTTGTGATCAATTGCAATTTTACCATAAAACTTATTTGCATTGTAATTTGCAATTTTGCTTTATATTAGCATTACATTTATGGTTTCAATAGTTAAACTTTTCTCTTTTGACCACAGGAATCCATGAGTAAAAAAATTCTACAGAAGCTTTAGTTTCTGACAAATCAAATTATTAAAAGTTTGGAATTCAAAATCCTTTTGTTCATTTCATTAAATATTTTGATCCAACTGTCAGCTATATTGATTTTTTTCTTTGCCCTGTTTCTTCAAATGTTTGGTTATCATTGTTTTATTAGCACCCATTGATCAAATAATCAAATTTTCATCTGTTTCTGTTCATGTAATAGGTTCCTTAAATTTACTGAAACTATTCTGTGTTTCTTGCCATCCAGACATCTTCCCCAACAATATCCATTCAAATTTATCACCTTTATCAGCACAGAATAAATGTTTTCTAACAAATCAAGAGTTTAGAATACAATATATAAATGTGTTTAATATACAAACTGTAGAGTTAAGTATTTTCATTTTTAAAAAATGGGACAAAAGTGAAAATTTTATTAAAATGGAATGACAGCCAGGACAGAATGAAAAGAATGGTACTGTCCCATTAAAAATGATACAAATGGTCTACCTATGTATAATTTCACTCATTCAATACTAAAAATTTTGAACAGAGTAAAAATATTTTTTAAATTGTAAAATGTAATTTGGATATAATGGCATCACATTAACAATATAAAATTCATACAGTATAATAATCATGATATAAAATTTAGGTAACAGTTTTATTTCAGATTGCATATTTATTTTCAGTTAATTTGTTTTCATTCTGTATATGTAAATATATATATATATATATATATATATATAAAACCTGATAATTGAAATACAGATTTAACTAGTTATATATGTTTTAAAAAAACTATACAATCTACAGATTAAAGTCATTAGTCACAATGATTTCATTCAAGTGATATTTCAGCCAAGTAATATGAGCATATAGAATTAGGAAACAATTTCATTTATTTTGTAATATAAATATGTTTGTTAATATTAAATTTCTGTAGACACAGATAAAGTATTGTTAGTGTCAAATTTTGTAATTTGATGCAATTTACTGTTGTATTGTAATTAAACATAATATTAGTCTACCAAATAGTCTCTGCAAATAAATATACAGTGGTACCTCAGGTTACGAACGCCCCAGCATACGAAATTTTCAGGATATGACATGAAATTCGAACTTATTTTTGCTCCACGATACGAACAAAAACTCACCATACGACATTACATTAGTTCGCATTTTTCATTTGTTTTTCTTACTACAGTTATTTTTTTTAATGTATTACTTGGCTTTAATTTGAGTATGTTTTTTGCATTGGAACGAATTATTTGGTTTTACATGTAATCGTATGGGAAAAGATGATCCACCTTACGACATTTTCATGATACGATCTCAGTTTCGGAACGGATTAATTTCGTATCCTGAGGTACCACTGTATCTCTAGTATAATATCAGTTGTAATGACAATTTTATAAATCAATAAAACAATGATAGTGAAGATACTCCCAAAGTACAGTAAACTTGTCTAAAATAGAATGGCTAGATTTTTCTACTTCAGCCAATTTCCATTTTATAAAGTTTTGTTTCAACTATTCTCTTTTTTTACTTTAATAAAAACATGTGTTAAACTCAAATTTAGAACTGCTTTTTCTCCAATATAATTATCCTCCATCATAAGCATTGTATGTTTGAAAGACATGTTAAAAACATTGAAATATAGTAATAGTGATTACAATAAGCCATCACTTTGGAACTTGGCCTGTATTGGTGAAAAAAATAATAATTAACTGACCAACTGATAACATTAAATAGTGTGATTAAGATACAGTTAGTTGAAATTCTGGTTTTATTGACTCTGACATTAAAAGGCTATATGTGTAACTTGAATAGTTATTAATTATAATAATTATTATTGATGTAACTATAAGTACAATTATTATTAACTTACAAATGGCTGACTGCACGTCTTGTCCATAAAAGTGAATGTAGCATGAAGATAATCTACCAAGATTGTGTGCAGTCAGCCATTCTATGGCATGTGTGTGCTTGCATCGATATGCACAATGGTCATTTTGAACATCTTCCTACATAAGCATAATTGCATATGCAAATACCAATGTTCATGTTTCCAATAAAGCTTATTTTTCTGTGCACAGGATATTATATCATACATTTTATTTTGCTTTTTTCTTGGAAACTATGGGTTGTAGAGGTATGGTTCTTTGGTTATTTTTTATATACTCCAAGCAATGATTCTATCTCTGCAGAATTTATGCAGTCTTGACAGGACACCCTGTGTAGTTCTAGATATTATTAATTTTGGCCAAGTTTATAACATTTATCAATAACTCTACATCTATACTTTTCAGCAGTGTTTTAATCAAAAAAATTTTGGTTTGTGTGTTTCCAGTTTTTTATACAAGTGTATTTATAATATTTTCTTTAAATTAATAACAATAATATACTGTCAAAATCATTTTTTCTCTCCATCTTCTAGTTTCATTTTTTTGCATTTCATATTGGTGTCACCAGAGAAAATTTACTTAATAAACATCTTTCATAAAAGTTCTTCAAAAAACAAATGTTTTTAATTGGTTTATGTATGTATGTATGATTTACATGGTGTCCTACATAAAATCAGCTCCACTCACTGAAAACTATTCAAATGAATTTAGGAAAAGAACACTTATTGCAAACTTTATTTTAATATTATTGAAACATACAGAAGATGTTGACAGTGGTATTCTTGTGTATATACTCTAAGTGAGTATTCTATACTCCTTTGTGTACTCATAATTTGTTCAGACTGACCTTATGTAAAATACACCAATATCCTCAATACTTCTGTGAATACATCAGTAATGTTTCATTATTTCAATTGGATCAGTTTCACCCTACATAAACTATGAAATAAAAATAGAAAAAATATTAGTAATACAACAAAACCAACAGCAACTAATATAAATATTAGTTTGATGACAATATCGAGGTCGACAACCAAACCAACAGCAACTAATATGGCGCTTGCTTCGTAAGCGGTGTCGTGTGACGTCACGTGCACCCATTCTATATCAATATGAATTAAAACCATAAACAATCGTGTAGTTATTTCTAAGATATAAAATAACTAATAATGTATTACACTATTTTCGTGGTGTAATTCTATAAGTTAAACAAACAAACACTTTAAAAAATTGTTCATAGAAATGGATATAGAAAATTTATTAATATGTATAGTGAGTTGTGTATATGTATCATCTACAGTCGAAGTTATTTAGTCCAGCATGTACATGTGAGGACCCAAACGGGGTCCGAAAGCTGGCCATTAACGACTTTTTAAATGAGTCAAATTTCGTAGCGCGAAAGAGCGAACTTAAAGATCGGATTTAAACAATGAACCTTTTGTCTTGCTAAAAGACATTAAACAATAGATAAAGTCGAAGAAAACGAAGTTGGAGAAAAGTCGTGTTCCGACGCGACGTTGACGTCTCTCGTGCCTTTCCTGGAATTCGAATTGTCACCATGTGACGAGGAGAGACCAATGGAGNATATTTAAATTATTTTATTCATTTGTTCTCTATTTTGACTTTTTATCAGGTTTATATTTACATAAAAATGCTGAAATTATTTGTGTTTTTACATGTATATATATTAATGGAGTTAAATGACTTATTCAGGATAAGTTTCTTTAGAATTAAGATTTGATTTTTTTATTATTTGAAGTGTAATTTTTAATAAAATTATTCTCCAATCTTATGCATTTTATATTGTTAGAAAACTATTTATTTAACATGACATATTGAATTCTTAATATTTTCCAAACTTCAGAATTGCTTATAATCAAAGCCAAACAATTTTTGGATTATATTAGTCTATATTACTACTACTAATAATAATTAAGTGCTAAGTAATTTGGCAATAGAAGTAGATATTAAGTGCCATCTCTTGCTAAATTTGATAATTAATTTAGGAAGAGAAGAATCAGCCCAAAGCAGGACTCAAACCTACAACTCCCACTTACTGTTAGTAGCAATATAGCCTGATATAATCTGGCAATTGTTTGGCTTTAATATATAAAGGTTTTAGATGTTTACATTTGCTTGTAATCAAATAGTTTTGTAATTTTATATACTTTTATAATTGACTACCAATAAACATATAAAGAAATTTGTCAAAAAATTTTATTTTATATAGTTGATTTTAATAATAATTTTGAAGTTCATAGCTAAAGTTGAATTTCAGTTATGATTACAAAAAATATCAAATATATTAATGAAAACTATTGATCATAATTTGCAGGAGGCTTTTATCTGTATATTTGAAAAGATGGAAATTATTAGATTTGTATTATAAGAAATTAATGATGTGTAAAACTTTATATTTTATATGAGGTTTTATTATTATACAGTTCAACATTAACATTATCAATATATAAATAACAATATTTTAATGTTAGCTTTAAAAAATATCTTTTTACTAATATCTGTTGTACTTTTTAAAAAATTAGTTAAAGTTTTTTATTTTATTGAAAATTTATTAATATAATTTTTCAAATGTTTTCAAATTTTTAAAATAATTTTTTATTGAGTAATTTTATAAATTAAAATTTTTGAAATATAAAATTTGTATATATTTCTTGTAATTAATAAATAATTATAATTTTTTGTTTTTAAGCCTATAACAATTTTAAAAGTGGATAAAGAAAAACAGTTTACTATAAAGAGTTCGCTACTACAGGAAGAAAAATCAAAAAATAATAACAGTTCAGAATCAAAATATACTTTACAAAAGACTTTAACTATAGTATCAGGTGGCCATAAAATGGTTACAACATTTAATCTGCTTTCAGTGAGAGTCAAGGCAAATCTTACAACAGAAAGAATTTTTAATATAAGAGAATTAAGTATGAAACTTTTTAAAATTCTTATAATGAAAGAATAAAATAAATTATATTCATATGTATTTTGCAAAGAAAATTTTTAATTATAAAAATTATTTATAAGTAATTAATCAATGTAATTTACACTCCTCAAAAGTGAAATTGCAATAGCATAAAGGAATGCACATAGTCATATGCAAACTGCAGGACTGTAGAATGACAGAGATATACAAATGATTAAGTTTGTGTATTCATCAGATTATGTGGTACCCAGTTTTTAGTTGACTTGGGCCATAAATGCTATCAGTGACAGTTTACAGCAGCCAAACTTTTGAAGAAGCATAGAAAATGCCTTGGAGATGATAGTGAGCTGAATACCACCAGTTTTAATGGCTGGGAAATGAGACCATATCCTGGAACTGTGCAATCTCATTTTGTCAATGTGCACAGTTGCCTTCCATATTGGGCACAATGTGAGTACCATTCAGTGATGTGACATGATGAACATAGGAACATCTGCAAACATGCCAAAGAAGGAGTGGATCACACTGGTGCACAACAGAGTGTACGGACTGGCAGATTCACTGAATGGCCCATTGGGATCTGTTTGCCATGGCACATGACATCTGAAGCCACTGTCATTGTCGTCGTCTTGCAGGATCTCTCTCCTGTGGGTCCTTGTCTGACATGAGGTGCACCAGGGACCACCACAACATATCATAGATGATGTGAGTTGTATAATGGATACAGCTTGGCAAGGGATGCCTCAAGCAACCATTAATCACCTCATTGATAGTATGCCTTGCCTGTATCGCTGCCTTTGGAGGCTATATTTGTTACTGAATAAACAGGTGTCTGTTGCATAACTTTGTATATGTCTGTCATCTACTGGTCCTGCAATGTGCATGTGGTTACACACATTCTTTTGTTGTGTTGCAATTTCACTTTTGAGGAGTGACTATATTATTTATTATTTTATAAATTTATTTTTAAAAGTTATTAAATCTGATATTTTATATTATATAACTAGTAATAGTTTTTAGAAGAAAGCTTTACTTGCAGAAAGATTAAAAATTAATTAATTTAGGAATATATTTATTTGATTTTCAATGGTTAAGATAGTCAAATTCTGTGGCAAGTTATCTTTTCTAGGTATTTACATTGTTTAATAAAGTAATACTGGTTTCTGCAAGTAAGATATTTATTTTATTTTTTAGAGAAAACTATTTATTGAGTAATGCATTATGCCTGTTTTTTAATACATAAAATATATTTGAAAAATACACATTATCATTTTAATATACAGGGTGGGAAAGAAAGTCACTTAACATCCCTGCTACAGAATATAAAACATAGAATGTACTGAAAATTAATTTGCTCATGTAGGGAACACATTACACCAAGGGAGAAACAGATTGATGTGTGTTACATGCATGGCCACAATATTGAATGCAATTCTGAAACTAAATGGAATGAGATCACGTGACACATCATTTAGGGTCAGAACTTCACAAGGAATTGATTACTGAAAGATTTATTGAACTACCTCAAACAGTTAGAATTATTAATGTGTTTCCTTTGTTGTGTGAAGAACAGACAATACAATGCCCCTAATACATAAGACATAAGATTTAAAGTAATTGGCCAAACTCGAAGGTATAGCCAAGGAAAGAATGGGATAGGGAGAAAGGGGTGAGTGAGGGAAGAGAGGAAATGCCCCTAATACAGGAAGAATGCATCAAAATCGTTTTGATGGCAGGGAAAAGAAGTTCCAAGAGAATTGCACAGAACAGATTGACAATTTTATCGTTGTCATTCACACCGAGAGCCTGTCACATGTAGCAGTTTCCAACTTACTCCAAAAATTCAGGGAGACAGGAACGATCCATGCCTGTGCAATACATGTTTATAGATAATACTGTATTTACAAAAATTTTTTTCTACTTACATTAGCTGGTTATTGAACACAAATTGAAATAAAAAATTGGGCAATTAACTGGATATATTATAAAAATTTGTTTAAAAACAACATATGTGTGATATATTTGTTTTGATAAGATCTGTATAGAAAGAAAATAAAGACTGAAGAGGGGTCATTAACACCCAAAATGCATATCCACATCCAATAATAAAGTCTATATCAATTGAACTATGTTGTCTATATCAATAAGACTTCCTTGTGTGATTTAAGTTACTGAAAAAAGCCAAAAGTTCTAGACTTAAAAAAAATGACACTAAGTAGTGTGTGAGTCATTCAAAAAGCAGATGATTTTTTCAATGCATGAGTGTATTGATTGATTGATATTAGATAAACACAACACAAGGTAATCTGCCAGTTGGGGAATGTGCCTGCAAGGTGGGTTTTTAAGGAAAACTGGCTCTATTAGGGCATTATTGATGTGAAGAAAACCCATAAACTTCACTAGTCAGCCTGAGCCAACTACCAGTGTTCAGTGATTAAATTCACTGATGCAGTATGCATGTAGGATGGAGAACGACACACCTCTGAACTCTAGGTAGAAAACTTTTTTCAGCAGTCTCAATCAGAATTTGATTCCAAATCCTTAATGGAATACTACATCTAACCAGCTTTCAATGTGTGAGAAAATAATGAATGTCTTTGAAATTAGTTCTCAAAAGCTTCACCATGTTACTAAAGCAAGAACATGAAGTTTAAAGACAATAATAAAAAAATCCATCATTGAATTGCATAACTTTCCCAACAAAAGAATTTTAAATTGCATTTGGCATCATTGGTTTTATTTTATTTTACATACCTTATTTTAAAAAAACTTTATATTATTAATTATTATAAAATGGTAGAAAGCTCAATTTTGAGGGATGAGTGTTATAAAAAGTTGTAATGTTCATAACAAGTAAAATCATTATGTCTGACCTGTCTTGAGATATGACACGACTCCCTTCTATCTCCCCACCCAATTGACCTTTAACCATCAAAATTTCATAGTATCAATGCTATGAAATTTTGAATTTACCAAGCCAAATTTAGTTTCTTAATCATTAACCCATCCCAAGATATTAAATGAAATAGACGCGAACACACACACTCACACAAAACACATTACACGTACATATTTAAGAAATTTTTTTTACCTTTTCTTTACTTTTTTGGGTACAGGGTGTCTCAAAACATAAAGATTTGCAAAAAACTTGGAGGGTCAAATTTGACATGATTCCAATACTTTCCCATGTTATGTGTACATAACAGCCTGGAAGCAAAAGCTTATGGTATTGAATCATCTCAAAAATGATTAGTGTAAAAATGAAATCCTGATAAATCGGAGTACAGGATGCACAATTAAACTAATAAATAGAAATTACATGGTGAAAGAATAGTGGAATATTATAATTATTACAATGATATTACAATTAGCAATCTATAGTATTTCTTAGCTATTAGTTATACAATTAAGTTTATTTTTATTCAGTTAAAGCAATGTGACATATGGGAAATCTGTCAAGAGGGGAATGCCTCCTGAGAGGTCTTTTATGGGAAACTGACCCCTATTTAGGTGTTACTGACATGAAGAAAACCCTGAAAACTCCACGAGGTCATCTTGTTGGTGATGCATGAACTCATAACCAACTACCAGTGCTCAGTGGTTTTATTTACTCAGCAAGTGGTGGGCCAAAATTAAGTTGGACTATGAAAACAAAAGTGATCAATAAAGTTTAATATTAATATTTTAGATGAATGTGTTATTTTAAAAAATTTTAAACTAAATATTTTTTAATTCTTACTTTATACATGAAATATATTTTGATAGTAGATAAAAAATTTTATAGACCAAATGTCACATGAATACATTAGTAGTGGATATACATATATATTCTATGTACAGTACATGTAGAAGATATGAAATTCTATATGTTATAATACAGATATATCTGTTGTCTTAGCATTTTCTAATTATTATATAAATATTTGGTTTATTTAAGTTTATTATATTTAAAAATCTTATTATATTATAGTATGATACTTAGTAGGTGTAAAGCTTTTCTTTTAATCTTTTGAACATTAAAACTACATTATGGCTGTGAATATTTATTAAAAGTATTTCAAAAATTTTGGGTGATATTTTTATATTAAAAAATTTAATTATTAATCACATTAAAGTTTAAAGAAATGTTAAATTTATTTAATTGTTTTTTATGAGATTGTAAAGATTATAGAAAATTATAATTTTTATCATTGATTTTTGTGTAATATTTTAAAATATATTTTTATTTAAATACTAATTTTTGAATCAAGTTTACTTTTAATCTGATTAGAAAATTCTCTTAATCGAGAAAAATATCGAGAAGATGCAGTTCAGTGGATGATAAAAAAGAAACTACTCCCAAATCAAACTAAATGCAAATGGTGTTCCTTATCATCTCTAAATTTAATTGTTGATAAATCTCTTGTTGATGGATATACATGGAAATGTAGCAATTTAAAGTAAGTTTTTTTCTGTTATTCTGTGCAGTGTTATAGTGCATCTAAATTACCTTATTTTTGTGTATGTAACTTGTAAATAAATGCTAGAACAAAAAAATCTTCACAAACAAGCCATACACCAATTTTAAATTGCAATCATGAACTCCTGCCTATGAAGCAATGACTGTTCCTGTAAATTGTAGGATGTATAGTGGGGCAGATAATTTGAAGATTTTTTGTTCCTACTTTCAAATTGTCTTTTAAACACAGATAACCAATAGGTTACATACATGAAAATATGGTCATTTATTATTGTAAGTATATTGTAACTTCTAAAAAATAAGTTAACTGGAATATTTACCATCAAATTATTCACCTTTGATTTCACAAAAAACAAATACAGAGAAATTAAAGGTGAATTTTTTTATAACTTCTAAAACACTGAAATATTTAATTGATAAAAGTTTACAAAAGAATATATTTGTTGTAAGGAAATTTATGCATTATTGATAAAATAATAATTATTGGTCTGATTTTATATAATAAGCTTTTCCTCTTAATATAAATTATTTAATATGAATTTATCTTGTGATAACATTACTAATATAAATATATTAAAAAGTGATATTTTCTACTGTATATGTACTGTACATTGGTTTATATATTGCTTTTTAGATGATGATAGATGAGATTATCACATACTAAGCAATAGAAATTCATGTCTACAGATAGAAAACTAATTCGATAAAGTTTGCAGATAATTAGCTTATAATAACCAACTCAAGTTCTTTTTAGGATTACAATGGGTAAAATCAACAAAAAAACCAAAAGATAGGAATGAAGAATAATTTTGGTAGTGATTTTGAAGCTGATAGTTTCAGAAAGTTCTACATTTTGAGTCTATGCATTGATTAAAAACAGGTTAACAAATTTTGCTAGTTTGGTTAAATTATTATAAAAAAACTGCAAAGTATGAAAATGAATTTGTGACGTCTATATCAATAAGACTTCCTTGTGTGATTTAAGTTACTGAAAAAAGCCAAAAGTTCTAGACTTAAAAAAAATGACACTAAGTAGTGTGTGAGTCATTCAAAAAGCAGATGATTTTTTCAATGCATGAGTGTATTGATTGATTGATATTAGATAAACACAACACAAGGTAATCTGCCAGTTGGGGAATGTGCCTGCAAGGTGGGTTTTTAAGGAAAACTGGCTCTATTAGGGCATTATTGATGTGAAGAAAACCCATAAACTTCACTAGTCAGCCTGAGCCAACTACCAGTGTTCAGTGATTAAATTCACTGATGCAGTATGCATGTAGGATGGAGAACGACACACCTCTGAACTCTAGGTAGAAAACTTTTTTCAGCAGTCTCAATCAGAATTTGATTCCAAATCCTTAATGGAATACTACATCTAACCAGCTTTCAATGTGTGAGAAAATAATGAATGTCTTTGAAATTAGTTCTCAAAANTATATAGTTAATCAGGCCTCCTATCTAAGCTTTTCATATCTGGTCTCATCTTTCATTTATTTAATTCTGTTCTCAAGATTAATTAAGGAAAGACAGATGGACGACAATGGAAATTTATAGATCTACAATTTTTTTAAATTGCAGCCCAACAACAGCATAGTTAGAACTAACTTATGCTTATCACACAACTTCCAGCACATTAGGTTTTCAAAAACTTGGCCTCTTTGTGCTCTCTGAGCAGTAAGGGGCCTAAAACCACAAAGAAAAAAAAAGTTTTCGAAAACAATTGTTTTTGGCTACTTCAGAGGCTCTCTTCAGGTAAAAGAATAATAATAGAAAAAAGTTCTACTGGGCTTCCTAACATTCAAAAAACTTTAAACAAGCCAATTCCAATAATAATCAAAAATTATGTTCTAGATATTCTAAAAGTTAGAAAGTTCCAACTTTGTGACCTTGTATGATAAGCATAAGTTAGTTCTTATTAAAGTTTCAGCTTCTGTTGTGATTTTATGAACAGCATTGTTATTTCACATTTGTACTGGTAATGGCATACAAGTTAAAATGTGTTTTGCAAGATGTAGTACAGTATTTGCAATGCATTTGTCAAAAAATTTTTTGAGAAAAAGAAAAATGAACTCAAGAAGAACAGAACAGCATTACTTTTTCAAATTTTCAGTAATGGAGAAGAGGTCACCTATGGAAACTCATGCCTCCAACAATTGTATAGGGGCTGATGCTTGAACCAAATATTGTACAAATCTTTGAGAGACACAGACACTTCTGGAATGGCCAACAGAGTGTCCAAGATGACCACATCTCAAAGCAAGTTGACTGATGAGAACTGAAAATGTTTCCAAACAGTTTTGAAACTGTTGAAACTGCTGACCACAGACAGGACCTTCAGCAGCTGGCATATCATAGAGACTAGGAATTTCCAAGACAGCTATTTTCAATGTCATTCATCGGGACTTGGGCAAAAGGAAGTTGTGTGTATGGTTTGTGCTACACAAGCTCAAAAATAGCATCAAATTGCTATGATGCAGAATTTTATTGCAGAGGTAAACAGTAATTGCCAGTTGCTCCATGCCATAACAGGTGGCAAGACTTGGTGCTTCAAGTAGAAGTTGAAGCATCAGAACTTTACATAAATTGATTTTGGCTTACCAAAATAAAAAGAACTGAGACTACAAAAATCAAGAATGAAACTGATGCCTATCATTATTGACACAAAGTGTATCATTTATCATGAGTTTTTATCACATGGAACCATAATAATTGGTGCATACTACTTCAGTATCATGAAGTGTCTTCTTGTCATTATTTACTGAGTACAGCCTGCCATGTACCTAAGCAATGGCTGGTTCTTTCTGATAACATACCTTCAAACAACTGTCTATAAATGAAAAAGATTTTGGCCAAAAAAAATTAATAGATTTGATCACTCACTCTGCTCACTTAATTTGGCTCTTGCTAATGGTTTTATTATAATGGCTTGAAAGAGCAGCACAATATGAAATTCAAGAACACCAATAATAATCTTATGAGATTTTGAGTCTCACTTGCAATGGATTTTTGAAAATGTTTGATTAGTTGTATGATCATTGCAAGAAATACATCTATGTTTGAGGGAAACATGTTAAATAAAAATAAAATTTAATTCATATATCTTGAAATTCTGCTTTTTTTTATTGCAAAAATCTGGTTGACATGACTGCACAGATGCAATGTACAGTCTTGGATCTTGATTTATTTATTTTTACCCCATTGTTTCTTTTTCACTTTATTAATCAAAACAACTGTATATTGTTCTGTTCATAAAGATTTGTTTAACTGTAATTATTTTTATTTCCTATTGTTAAGATCAGATAATGGCAAATTAGGCTTAATTTTAATTTATACGAAGGAAAGTTTTAATTTTTTCTCTCATTATTACATTTGAGAGATACAGTCGACCCCCCTATAAGATATAGATACGTTCCAATTTATTAGGAATCTGATTTCTTACGAGTCGTTCCAATCACAGCCCGACACGTGTCAAGTTTACGGACTACGGCTGATTGAAAGGTTTTCTTCCATAAAATTAATCGATTCTACACTAATCCGACTCAACATTTCCAAAATACGTATATTTTTTCGTAGTTTTATAGGAATCGTAATTATAGGGACCGTAATTATAGGGGGGTCGACTGTANAGATATTTTTTTTATTGAACTAAATACATATTGTAAATTAAAATTGTTAGTAAATTTACATTATAAGGAGTTTTTAAATTAGTAAGTATATATCAATAATTGTAATAAAAACTCCTGCCAGCTTCTTAAAATTTCTTCAATCATATATGTTTGAATTACAAAAATGTTTCATAAAAAATTAAATTGTGCATCAACAAAAAATTTTGATTATTATTTGTTTATAATATTAAAAAATTGTTATGTAGAAATACAATGCAATATTTGTGTATAATGTTTATATTAGATTAAATAAAAATCTGCTGTGTGTTGGTCTACCGCTAAACCTAAAATTTATATATTTTTCGTGCGGATTTACAGAGACTTTATAATATTTATATATTAAATAAAAAGTTTTTACATGTATAATGATTACTGATAAAATTTGTATTAATTATAGATGCAAAAAAACTTGTCCAGTGAACAGACTCCCTTTTTTTGGAAGATTTGGTATATCAATGAGCAGATTATTGGCTTTAACTTATCATTGGGTTGCACAGACTGATACTGCTGATGTAATGATGGATGTAGGAGTAGATGTATATACAGTGCGATCAGTCTGGAGAACATTACAGGAAGTATGTGGTATTGCTGTTGCTTTAAAATCATCAAAACTTGGTGGATCAAATTGTTCTGTTGAATTTGGCATTGCACAATTAGGAAGATTTCTTATTATTGGTGTTTATGATAGAAGGACAGGGTTAACAAGGGTTAAAGCTATGTCAGTTGCAGTTGGACTAAATGTATCTGTTTTTTTGAAAACTATTCAGCCATGGCTTCATAAGAAGTCTTTAGTGATATCAAATGATGCCAAATTATCAAAATTATCTACTATTGGTCTTCAGCATGTGCTAGTAAAGTCATCATCTCCTGAAGCAGCTGTTCATACTGATAACATTACCAATTATTTAAGAAAGCAATTATCTTTTCTATTTGGAGAATTTGCAGTTAATCAGTTAAAAATAGATACAATCCAAGGATTTTTAGATGAACTTCAATGGCGAGAAAGATTTGATACATCACCCAAAGAATGTTTTTGGAATATTTTAAAGCATATCACTGATCAGTCAGGCAAACAAGGTAAAATGAAATTTATTAATTGTAATTTTTTATATATCAAATTATTGCTATATCTCTAATTTCCTTAAATATTTCTCAATAATTTCTTATATTTGAAATAAAAGAAGTACATAGAAATATTGTGTTTTATAACATTGTATTTCCCTTATTTCAATAAGAAATAATCTTAATAAATAAATATGCTGTTTTAGACTTCTTCAACTACAAAAATCAAACAGAACAAATACTGGTATAACACCACATTTTTAGTACCAAAATCTGCTGGATTAACTAACATTTTTGCCATCTTAAATGAAGTCACATAGTAATAATTAATAGTATATTATGACTACTAATTGTATGCCTCCTATAATTCTAAAACACTCTGGACTGTTAGAAACTTATACATATATTAAAAATAAATTAAATTATAAAATGAAATACAAGTATAAATTAATGAGGTTTAAAAAACAAGGAACCATTAATTACACAGTAAAATATTTACTAATCAACTATTTTCAGTTCTTTTCATTGACCTTCATCATGGAATATATACAATATATATAATTTAACAAAAAAGAACAAAGCCATCCATATTCTAAAAATGGTTTTTACAACATTTATTTTAAGAATAATACAATTTTAAAAATGTGCATGTCGGTTTTTTTATGTATTGCATCTAATATCATACAATACACGACAAAAATCAAAATATATAAAATGTATTTCATGCATAATGAAATGACTCTAAATCAGTGTTTCTCAATGGGGGCGTTTTTCCATGTTCAGGGGGCAATTACTAACGATTTATATTTTGGGGACGAAAAACAATTTTCTGAGCGGTATAGTAAAACATTACATTAAGAATAATTAGATATTTTATTCATTTTATTGTATAATAATTAAACAAATAACATTATACTAGTCACTAGTCTATTCAATGCAGTACGAATTTGGCGTTAGCCTTGTCCCTCGGCATCCGAATTTTGTAGTGAAGGAGGCGATACTACATAATGGTTTTATTGAAGGGGGCAACAATTCGTTAGAGGTTGAGAAACACTGCTCTAAATTATACTTTACGTATTTTTACTCTTGCCCCTGTCGAATCAATCACTACCATGCAATCTAACTACTGTTCATGCCTTTAAGTTTTATTTATCAATACTTTCCAGGCTGGTTAAACCATGGTGTTTTCTCTATAATTTACTGCTTGCCCTCTGCATGGCACATTCATACAGCTAAAGAGAGGGGCTTTTTAGCTGTATGAATGTGCCATGCTTCTGCATATTTAATCTATCACTTATCCTGAATCTTTTCAATCATTTTTGCTCAGTTCCATTCTATCATTACAGAATCTGGGTCTGCTATAGTGTAAGTTGCTAAGGCTTGTAATCGGCTGCTTCATTCAGATGTTATCTTTATGTTCCTTGATCCTCTGTTTTAGTGATCTTATAGTGGCTTCTATGTAGCATAAGTCATTATGCCTTTTATTGGTATTCTGTACATGTCAGGTCAATGGCCTCCTTGTTGTTTCTTAGCATTCTGTATACTGTGGGGTTTCTCTTAAATATGATTTTCTTGCTAGTTTCAATCCTGCTTTCTCTGTAGATATTGCCATGTATTCAACAATGGTAAATTTATTTTGCATATCATGTCTTCTGTTCACTATTTGTTGATCATTCTTTTTATCATTTTTCTCTTCATCCCATCCTGACACACTATCTCTTCAATATATTCTAGTTCTCTTTTCCTTGTCTTGTATATTAGTGCAATGAGTATATGCATTTTTTATTAGATCCTAAATGCTGCTAATCTATAGCTTAATGGATCATGTGAGACCCACAGTATGAATATTGCAATGTATGTTGGCTTCCTATAAATATCTGTGGTGAATCACCTCCCTTTAATGTGATAAAGATATGTAGAAAGTGCACAGCAATATCACTTGCCTGCTCCAAATCTATTTCTAAGGAATTAATGGTTCCATATTTGTTGTTTCGATAGTGCAGTTATAGAAAGAATCAGGTTTATTAACTACTGTATATAGGATGTTGCAAAAAAAGTGTTTTGCTTCCTGGAAATGGGTGATAGAACTCAAGATAAGCAAAAATTGTTGAGTAACATATTTGCAAATTTCCAATAGTTACTGAAATAGTTGAGGATAAAGTTATGTTGAATGATGCTAGAATGGATCACCATTATAGACCTGCCAACTAGGGATTGTAAATTTACCGACTTTTTCATTTACCAGTAATTCAGTAAATGAAAATTAAAATACCGGTTTACTGGTAAATTACCGGTAAATTTTTTTCTTGAAAAATAAAATTAAGGTGATAAAAAATATAAGTCATTATGATTTCCATTTCACATTTTTATTTCAAAGATATCAAGTATAAAAAAATATAAAAATTAAAGTGTTATTCTAAACAAACTATAATAATAAATATAGAAATAAACAGAAATAAAATAATACAGAAAAATAAAAATACAACAGAAATAATATATAGTACCTAATACCATTTTATTCATTACCATTTTTTAAAATAACTTCTCAAGAAACTTAAATTATTTATAGTCTTATCTCCTAATTTTGATCTAATTTTTGTACAAAATAATCCAGATCCCGAGAATACCCTTTCTGATTCAACACTTGTTGGACGAATGGTCATTAAATTAAAATTAAACAAAAAATATCTCACATAAAATTAATAATGAGGTATATTGTTGCTTACTGTTTTTTTTTTCAATGTCCCTTTAGCCCTTTTAAATATCTATAAACACAATAGTTTCTACATAGAAATTTCTAGTATGGATTTTTCATTTACCGAAAAAATTTACCAGTAAGTTTATCGAATGTTTTTTTGTCAATTTATCAGTTAATTGGTAAACTGGTATACAATCCCTACTGCCAACTGTTGACCTACAACTGAAAATGGAAGGACTAATTGAAAAGCAATCACTAAAAGCTTGTCATTGAGGTTTTTCCTTCCCTCTAAACTTGCAACACTGGAATTCTAAAATGACCTGGAGATGCCTTTTTACTGAAAGTTTAGTGTAAAATAAAGTGGAAACTATTGCTTGTTTGCTTCAATAAATGTTTATCATTACAATGATAGTTTAACTATAGTATAATTCCTGAAAGAAGTGAGTTTAAATTTTCAACTTTAATCTCAAATATTTAGGCAATTATTGTATATTTACAAATATGTTACTCTACATTTTTTGCTAATCTTGACAAATTCTATCCTACATTTCCAGGAAGAACACTTTTTTTGCAACACCCTGTATATTGACTAGAGTTTTGCCAAATGAGCTGAGCCACAGCTCAGCTCAATTATAACTCAATTAACTTAGTCAGTAATCAACTCTCAGTTGTGGCTCTCAGATGTAATCCAGAATTGTCAATCAGCTCACAGTTCAGCTCAATTTCAGTTCAATCTCAGAGTATTTTTATACTTTGAGGTAGTCTTCGTTCTATCTATGTATTATTGGGATTCTATTGTACATGTTTTGCTAGAAATAACTGTTGTTATTTGTATCATTTTAAAATATTATCCTTTATTATTTTTAATAATTCTATTAATCTATAAATTGTTTATAGTTCAATTTCTTAATGCTTATCTAGGTTTTATTTGAATACTTTCATTCTCATAACAGATAAATGAAAACAGATTCAACATACTGTGAATCAATTAATAATAATGGAAGTTTACTATTACAGATTGCATCTGTAATAGTAAACTTCTCATTGTGTTTAATTGTTTTGCTATATTTATAGTTAACATGTTAACTCAATTAAAATTGCAATATTCTATCAGCATATATATTTATTTATTTTATTTATTATGTTACATCATTCTATTTATCCTTTTGTATTTTTGTAATTTAATATTATAGGATGGTTGTATAAAAAAAATATCTAAATTACAGTTACATTGAATTTTGTTGAATTTTTAAAATATTTATGAACAATTTATGTAGGTTCTACATGTGAAACAAATCAGATTGTTCCATCAGCTATCACTGTATCAGACATTGGTCATGAAACTTTATTAAAACGAATTCTGAAAGAAGGAAATAGTTCTTCTAATAAAAAACAAAAAGGTATAAACTTTTTATATTCATAGTACTTTTATATATTTCATAATTAAATTTTAAAAGTGTATAAAAACTTACTTATATAATTTAATAATTAAAAATTGTAATTTAAATTTAATTCTACTTATTTCATAATACTTTTTTTATATAAGGGTATATTTTAAGTTTTGATTCTATTTGAATCAAAATACAATGTATTGAAATTACAACATTCTTTTATAAAAAAAAAAATATTTGAAGAATTGTTTTTAATATAAAGAATAATTTTTTCGAATGCCAAAGAAACTTTTATTGAATTATCAAAAGCAAAGGAAAACATTATTACAAAAATCATATTTTAATGTTCAAGACAATTAAATAAACATAAAAATGCAAATAATTTTACTTATTGGCTAGTGCTTTTGAAAAAATAATATCTTTCTCAGGCAAATAAACAGAACAAAGGATTATTTTTTATGTTGTTAACTATTAACTATTGACAAAAATGTTATGTATATATAACTACTTTTATCATCTGATATATGATAATATTCTGTAGTTATCATGATAATTTCATGAAAAAGAGGAAAACTTTGAATATTGTTTTGATCCAATTATTCACTATCTTTTTATTTATTCATTTTTGTGGTAGTTTAAATTTTTCTTTTTAATGATCAGACTTTTCTTGACAGAATTTTGCTATGTTATGACGGTTGTAATTCTCAAAGTCATGACTCTAAACAAACCTAAAAATCAAAATATTTTATTGTTCTTAAAGAATTGTCTTCTGTATTCATCAACCAATATAACTTTTTCTCAAAATTTTGCTTTGCGTAAACATGAAATAACTTTACTTGAATGTGTTTAATATATTTCAAATTGCATTATTTTATTGTGCGCATCATTTCAAGTTTTTTATTCATTTTTTAGATATTAGTTATACTATATTATCAATGCAGAAAATGAAATAACTGACTTCTAAATCAATTTAAACAAAACTAAAATCCCAAAACGATAGAAAAAACTTTAGAATGGTTAAAACAAAATTATCTTATTTGATTTTAATCTCATTTTATTTGTTGATTTAGTATTTATTACATACATTTTTGAAGTTAATGATATTCAATGAAATAATATCTTATATGTCGTAATTTTATTGATTTTGAAAAAAAAAATTATTGTAAAATTCCTTCTATTACATTTTCCTGGTAGATACAATTATAAAGATTACATAAAACATATATATTGATGATATTTTTAAACCATTTTGCTGAAATAATTGATGATTTTGCCACTAGAAAATTTTGGTACAGAATGAATTTAAAAGATATAATAAACAAAAGTTTTTTAATGATCAGAATTAAACAAAATATAGGTACATATTAAATTTCATATTATAATTTGAAAGAAGAGGTCTGTTTAGTCAATGTGACTGTAACTTTTGCTTTTTTTATATATACAGTTGACCTCCCTATAACATGGGTTCCTCTAGTTCGGATTCCTATATTATGGCAAAAAAAATTGTGACAGTATTTGTACAAACATGCTAAAAAACCTCCTATAATTTGGTAAAACGTCATCTCTGACTCATGTCGCGACAGGATTGGTCGAATCTAGACTAATAGCAGATATTGCACAAACTGTTGAGTTTAAATGAGAAGCAGACCTACTAAAAATCATTTATTATTTAACGTCCATAAAAATTATATTTATATTAATGATATCTCCAAAGTTCAGCGAATTTTTCGCAAAAAAAAATAATTTATCAGGAAGCACGCGAGCACCATTCAATGACAAGCTCCACGACGAAAACAAGCTTAAGCAATGGCGTAGTCGAACGGTGCACACTCGGTAAGTAATCCTACAATTTTTTGTTTATAGCATAGTTTATATGGATTATTCTCAAAAAATTATACGTATTTGGAAATGTTGAGTCAAATTAGTCTAGAATCTATTAATTTTATGGAAGAAACCTTTCAAACAGCCGTAGTCTGTAAACTGCATACGTGCCGGGCTGTGATTGGCTGGACTCGTAGAAAATGGATTCATTAAAACCGGAACTTATCTACTGTGTTATATGGGGTCGACACTACTTTATGTACTGTATACTTTAAATTTGATCTGATTTCATCAACAGTCTGCATAAAAATATTTAAATGGCTTATATCTTTTATATTTAACTTTCATCAGGTTTTGTACAGTCAACAAACCTGATGCAAGTTAAATATAAAATTATTTATAATTCTATTATTTTTTTTATTAATTTGTAATAAAATATGATATTTCTATATTTTAGAAGAAAGAAGAAATTATAGTGTTTGCATTGAAATAATGCATATCATTGAAATCATTCCATTTATTAATTAAGATTTTTCTAATATTTTACAGAAACTAATTAAATAAATTTTCTGTATAAGCATATATAGTAGAATCTGCTTACTATAATCATTTTGAGACTTGTCTATACTGATAACACTAAACATAAGTAAACAAGACTATAATTAATAAAAATTCTGGTTTTATTGACTCTGATACTAAAAGGACATGTAAAATACAGTTAAAAAGTGCATAACTTGAAGATTTATTCATTATTGTTGTCTTTTTTTTCCTCTCACAGGGAGATTGAGTCTTGACATGCAAGCCCTCCAAACTTCTATTTTGAGCTAGTTCCTCATTTAACTTCTTTAAATTTTTTCCTAAATGCTAATTCCTTACTTTTCTTTGGCTACCTCTACTTTTAGTTTTTAAACGTGTCCCTAATTCATCCAACCAATTCATTATCTTCTAACTACATGTCCAAGCCTCTGTCTATTTTCCATGAGCTTCTTTCTAATGTCCCTTTCTCTTAATTAAACTCCTCCTTATATGCTTATTTCTAATCCTATCAAGTAATTCACATATACCTGAATATCCTCATTTCTGCTACTTGAATATTTTTTATCTGAGATTTCTTCATTTCTCAACATTCAGTCCATATAACATTTCATTTCTAACAATTGTCTTATAAAATTTTCCTGTTAATATATTTATACTTTTATCACAAAGTATTTCTCTTGCATTCTACCACTTTTGCCACCGTATACCTATTCTATCAGCTATATCTATGTCTAACTTTCTTTCGTTCATTAAATTAACATTGATTCTAAGTACTTAAATTTCTTCATTATCTGTATCTCTAATAACTAATCTGTACATTTTTTCCTTATCACTAAAGTTAAAGTATTATATATGAACTCTGTTTTCTTTTTGAGAATTTTTAACCCTTTACTCTCTAATCTCTAACCTTTTATCTCCTCTATCAGTTCTTTCTTACCTTCTCTAACTAGAACTATGTCAAAAGAATTAAACGGAAATAATCCGATTTAGAATAGAACGCTTAAATTTAAGTTGAAACTTTAGTCAAAGTCGTTAGGAACACGATAGAAATATTCAAAAATGTTCGAAAAACGAGCAGAAAGCTCCATGATGTGCGAATACGTGCATGCGCAGATCTAGACACACACTATACGCATTCTGGAGAATGCTAATTTTTACTTAATTGCTTGTATAGTGTGACCCGTACACTGGGCAGCTCAAGAGTTGGAATGTTGCACGTGTCCATGGTGGTAGTAAGAAGAGACTCCCATATGAAAACGATTTTTCGATCCTTACAGCTCTTGAGCATAACCGCTTGGGACCATAGCGGGTTGTAACCCTGCTTAAGTACTTTTCTTGCGAGCTCGGTGGTGTGTCTACCCCTCACAACATCGTTTTGGTGCTCTTCTAGTCGGCTGGCAAGCATTCTAGTAGTGGCCCCAACATATCTTGCGTTTACTCCCATTGCAAGATTTTCCAGAGGTACAGCGTAGACCTCCGACTTCTCAAGCCTGGAAAATTTGTCCCTATCGTTACAAATGAGTTTGCTTAGGTTTGGAAGTGGGGTTAGTGGTAGTATAAGGTTGTGCTGCTTAAAGATTCTGCAGATACGTATAGAGAGGGGTCCCAGGTATGGCAACGATGTTTGTACCATTGAAAATTCTCTTTTGCTGCATAATGTGGTACTTGAAAACAGTGATTTCTTTACTATATTGAGCACGTGCGTAAATTTTGCACGTGAGAAGCCAGCAGTGCGTACCCCAAACTTATATTGTCTAACTCCATGTTTACCACCTCTTGCGAAGATGATAATAAGTAAGCCCTTCTAACAAGAGAGGCAATGGCAGCATTAACATATCGAGAAGGCTGAAAGGCCTCTGCTGGTATAATGTGTGGAGCTATGCTGGACTTGTGATGAACCGAGAATTGTAGTCCTTCCGAAGATTTACATATATGCAGGTCTAAGAACGTTATTGCCGCATCGCTTTCTTTCTCCCAAGAGAAATTGATGGAAGGATATATGCTTGATAGTTGCTGCATAAAGATGAGGAATGTCTCATCCGTGTCTTCCCACGCTATGAGGATGTCGTCAATGTAACTCAAATACAGCCTCGGATAGTGGATGGCAAGCGGGGAATTGAACGTTCTGTGCTCGATCTCTCTCATAATAAGTTCTGCTAGGAAAGCAGATAAAGGGGAGCCCATAGGAACCCCTTGCTTTTGTAAATAGATTTTCTGGTTAAAACGGAAGTAATTACACTCGGTGACGAAGTTGAGTGCATCTCGTAAATCAAGCACCTGTTGATGTTAAAGCCCGTTCTTAGAAGTAGAGAATTAGCCAGCATTACTGCCTCAAAGGTGGGCACTGAGGGATATAAAGATACTACATCCAGCTTGTAAAAGGTGTAGGTCTCTGGCCGTAGTGTACCAATACTTGAAGTGATGGTGGATTTAGCAATTACAGAAGAGGGAGTAACATATGGAGAATTTGGAACTATTGTGTGAAGGAATTTAGCAAGTGCTTTTTCTAAATAATAGGTTGGATGAGACCGTTTGTTTACTATCGGACGTAACGGCCAGTTTGTCTTATGGGTTTTTGGTTGAAAGAACAACCTAGGACATGCAACATTGGAGGGGGGGATCGAGCTAGGGTTGAAGAAACACCTGGTAAGGCAATGATTCTTCTTGCTTTTCTTAATACCGTCGGAGTAGGGTCCTCACTCATTTCCGAGGAATGCGACTGAGTTAAAAATTCATTGGCCCTGATGAGAAATGTATGGGTCACACTATACAAGCAATTAAGTAAAAATTAGCATTCTCCAGAATGCGTATAGTGTGTGTCTAGATCTGCGCATGCACGTATTCGCACATCATGGAGCTTTCTGCTCATTTTTCGAACATTTTTGAATATTTCTATCATGTTCCTAACGTCTTTGACTAAAGTTTCAAATTAAATTTAAGCGTTCTATTCTAAATCGGATTATTTCCGTTTAATTCTTTTGGTAAATCTTCGTATTCGCCTGATGACGACGACTATATGTTCGTCGAACGTACTAGCGATTAAAAAAAAAAAAAACGCACATGTAACGCCGACCTCATTGTCTTCTCTTTTTAGAACTATGTCATCTGCAAATAACATGCACCATGATTCTCTCTTGACTATATTTCTAAAACTGAGATAAAATGACTTAACATTGATCCTGGGTAGACAGTTACTTCTATCATAAAGTTTCCTGTTTTAACTTAAAACATATCCTGTTCCATAACATATTCCATATCCTGTCTTAACTTAAATCTTTGATAAAGTGATCAGATCCTAAAAATATGATAAGTGGGACATTAGACAGGTGTTCTGACATGATATCATGATTAATTCCAGTCAATTATTGTTGGTTTTTTAGCTTTCTGACTTCATCACTGATAGATGTGATAAACAATCAATGAACATTTTACTTACCCATATAGTCTTGTTTACAAAATAATGACCTACAGCAATACTAATAATTAACAGTAATTACAGCTCCAAGTGTAGTTTTGTTTGTTTTAATTGCTGTGCTTTAACTCAGATAATTACCAAAAATCCTCTTTTGTAATTGATCCACTAAACTGTGATACTTGCACAAGGTAACATTTGCTGTTCTCTGACAAGTTGCCAGACTGAACAGTATATTATTAATTGGGCTACTGTTTTAATAAATTTGGTTTTAAAATTTTTATTGGGTTCAGTATTAAGTCATCACATATTTTTTTATTGCCCAATTAAACATTTTAATAGCATTCAATTTTCTCAGAGAAGTGTGACTTTTGGAGTTTAAATATGGAGATATGTTACCAGTCTGTTAAAATCATTTGAGAAGTTTTAATTTTATTTCGTGAATAGTTCAGTTTTCTGAAATGGAACCAGACTACTTGCATTTGAGGCAAGTTTTGCTTTTTTTGTTTCTGAAAAAGTTTAAATGCAATTAAGGCAACACCAGAAATTTAAAGTTTATTACACTGACACTATAAAGGTGAGAAAAGCTCAAAATTGGTTTGCTAAGTTTTGGAAGGGAGATTTTAGCTTGAAAGATTGAATGCTTTAGTTGGTCAATAGTGATGATTTAAAGGCTCTCGTTGAAGCCAGTTCAAAAACTACCACAAGGGAAATTGGCTATAAAACTAAAGGTAAACCAAAAAAGTATTTTCAAGCACCTTAGAGAGCTTGGAAAAGTTCCTAAATTAGGTGTGTGGATTCCATGTGAGTTAACAGAAACTGATCTCAAATAACAATTAAGTATTGCTGGCTGCAATTAACAGTATATAAATAAGTATATTTAATGGTAACAGCTAATATATCATAATACTTAGATTATGCTTTCCAGTAACCTTACTGTTAACTGTGGTTATGTTATCAGAAGTTATTCTAAAACTTACAGTTAATAATGACAATTAAAAACAAAACATGGAATGGAAATATTGATTAAAGAATATGGAAAAGGCATAACATTATATATGCATTTGCCAATTAACTTTTTTTAGCTTGTTTTAAGCTAGATGAATGTAGTGTTATCAATTTGATTCAGTGAAAGTAAAACACAAAAATTGATTTCAATGCAGTGGGTGTAAAAGTATCATATATACAAAAGCACAATATTTACATTTAAAATTTTATTAGATGTGTCAATGTTATTTCTTAATGTGAAGGTTGTTCCAAAAGTTATGCACAGTTGGCTCTAACTCAAAAAATATTTATTGAAGAAGATACAAGTGGTTACAGGCCTTCAAAATAATCCCCTCCCTTATCAATGCATGCTTGCCAGCAGTGCAGAAGTGCTTGGATTTCATTCAGCATCCCCTTTTTATTGAGCATCCGAAGTTGTTGGGTCACTTTTCTTCGAAGCTCTTCCAGCGTCAGAAAATGCACCCTCTGAAGAGGGTTCCTTCAGTTTGGGGAAGAGATCGAAGTCAGGTGGGCTCAGATCAGGACTATAAGCCGGGTGGCGGAGCTGTTCCCAGTCGTATTTTTTGAGAAGTTCAATGATCGGTGCACTGATGTGCAGACGTGCATTATCGTGCAAAATCAACACACCACTTTGTAATATTCCTGGACACAGTTTATGGATTTTTAGGCACAAGACATTCTGAAGAAAGTTTTTGTAGTATGCGGCATGAATTTCAGGCACTTTTTTACTGTGCACTGTTTCATTGTGAATATACATATGTTGCTCTATTGCTGAAATTTGACCTGATGGACTGTTTTCGTTGTCTTTTTGAATTTTTGGCATTTTCCCTTTAAATGAATCCCACTACCATATGATACCAACATGTTTGTAAGACTTCAATCTACACACTGACACTTCGATCAGCTGTCTATGTTGCCTACAATGCTTGCTAGAGCATGCTGTGCATTACTTTTGGGACAACCCTCGTATCTACATTATTACAAGTTGTGTTCAACATCACAGATTGAGTTTTAGTAACTTTTTTTACTATAATGGTGTTTGAATTATTTCCATTGTTTATCTCAATTGAAATCAAATATATGGTTAATCTTAATTACAATTATGTAGATAATGTCAGTTATTGGCATTAGTGTGTTCAGAGTATAATAATGAATTATTTTACATGGTCATTTAAAATATATATATATATATATATAAGTGATAACTCTTATATATAAAGTGATACTCTTATATATGAGTATCACTTTTTGGATGTTACACAAAACTTTTAAATTAGCACATCAAATTATTCACTCTTCTATTTATATCAAATTCTTATTCTTTATATATTTTTGTCATGTTCAACTAGAAATCTGTTAGGAAGTATAATAACTTTACAAAAGAAATAATTTTCAAACTTTAAAAATTTCAAAAGATAAACTACATTTTTCATTTAAGATTTCTTCAAGAAATATAATAATTTCTATACTGTATTCATTGAAGTCATAATTAAATACAATGAAAATTATTTGAAAAATAATATTAATTAAAAAATAATATAATAAAATAAAAATAATATTTAGTATATTAATTAATTAAAAAATTTATTTTGTTGTAACATCTGAAAAATAATGCTCATATTTATATAGTATCATTTCATTTGTGGTATTTTGATATTCTTTCACATATATCTTATGGTATTATTTTTCAGTTCTAAACTTTTAAAGCATGCAGAGAAAATTCCAATATATTATAAAATTTTACATTTTTTACAAGAATGGCTAATGAAATTTTCTCTGTCTAATAATGTATTATTTATATTTGGACATTTCTTAATATTAGATGTTTTCTCCAGTCTGGTTGAAAATATTTATTACCAATTTCAATATAAAATTGATTAATTCAATGTTCATTGTTAAATCTTTTCCAGTTAATGGAGTAGATGTTATATTGGATGAATATTATTATGCAAGATTGGAGCCACAAATTACAATTATTGAGAAAAATAAAGATAAAGCAAATCGGTTTAAGGTAGATGAATTATTTTAATAAAGTTTTAGTATTAAAAATAAAATAAACACCTTTCTCTATTCCAGCACACTTTTAATGCGTTGAAAAACGTTTTCGATCATTTTAATCGATCATCATCAGTTCAAAATTCAAATTTTGAACTGATGATGATCGATTAAAACAATCGAAAATGTTTATTTTATTTTTAATTAATAATTCCAGTAAGCATTTAGTTATTTGTTTTAGTATTACTTTTGTAATGAAAAAGAGATGTCATGTTTACTTTGACTTAATTGTAAGAAAGGCATAATAAATTTAAGAATTTTATTTGGTAATGAAATATTTATTAGATATGAAATTAAGTTGATCCTTTAATTTATTTTACAATTACATTGATATATCTGTAGGATATAAAAAATAGAAATATAAAAAAACAATAAAAAAAATTGATTTTGCAATTGCCATAATAAATTTTTAATTTCATACTTCAGTATTAAGTTTAAATTTAGAATAAAAACTCAGATATAGTTGAATTTAAATGTGTCAAAAATATTTTTATCTTTATTATAAAAGAAATGCTTTGCTAAATAAATAAAATGAGATACAAAATCAAAATTAAAAAAGTATAGAATAAGTTTCAGAGAAAAAACATCTACTATGTGTATAATGCATTGATAATTGTCTTTAAATCTAATTATTTTCATAAGATAGACTTCAATTTTATGAATATAACTTTTGATATTTCTTAATGACTTTCTCTGTTTTATTGTTTTTCATTCTGATTATCCCTTCTGTAGCATCAATTGCATTAATATTATTTTTTGCAATAATGATTTTTGTTTTTACTTTTTGTGATTTATTCCTTCATATATAGAAATCACTAACTGTATATTAAAAGATAATTTCAAAAATGAAATTTTGTCAACATCAAAAAATTTTAAATATGGTCACAGATTCTTATTATTAAAAATATTTATATATGAAAGGTCATAAATTCATTACTTTATGAGCACTTTAATAAGATTCAATATTTTATATATCAATTCATATATGGCATTATTTGACTATATGAAATTTTTTTAGTTTTTTTCTTAATATAAAGAAGTTAGATTAATTACCAGATGAAATGATATAAAATAATAAAGCAAATTATATAAGATGAGGTGTTATTTCTATCAGATTTTAATTTTTATTTTCTTACTTTGTATTTTCACATTGATGTTTTATTACATTTAAGAGTGTTTTAATTTATCACAAAAATTAAAATATTTTTACTATATTTCAGTTTTTATTCTATATTTACAGTTAGTATTAAAATCTATAATTATAAATTTATTATGATAATACAATGTACAGAATCAAATTTTTAAAAATTCTAAATATCACTTTTGGATAGCTGTTATTATGTTCTATGTATGTCTTGTCTCTAATCCAACATTAAGTTCGGTAGACTATCATTACAGCTTTCAGGTTAGACACTTCTTTTATTGCTTTGACATATGCATTTCGGGCTTATATAAAAGTTAAGTCCCTCTTCAGTGCAATACTACAAATTATTAAAAAAATTAAAAAAACATAATTAGTAACATGACAAAACTGTTTGCGTGCAGGTCATATTTACTGACATAAAACTATCATATTTAAAAATTGTCACACTTATATGATACCTATGGTTCTGTCTCCTAAAACCACGGTGTACAACAGGTAACATTGGAAAGATTTTAAAATGCAGCCATTAAAAACACCTCAAATACATTTTCACCATTAATACGGAATACCTAATATAATAATAATTTTATAATTTTTTACTTTAATAACATCATATATCTTAATAAAATAACAATATAACATGACACTCACTTTTAACATTTGCTCATAAAATCTTATACAAGTACAACTTTTAAAGAATGTATATGTTCTACAATATAACGTTGCAGTAACTGCAATTATAATCGTTTTACAGATAGCATAGTAATATTAAAAACATTTTTTAAGGGATACATACACACTTTTACAATATATTTCCAATTTTTTCCTGTTACAACATTATTATAAATACATTACAACTAGTTATAATGTATTTATAATAATGTTGTTATATAATAATAATAATGTTTATAATAATGTTGTAACAGGAAAAAATTGGAAATATATTGTAAAAGTGTGTATGTATCCCTTAAAAAATGTTTTTAATATTACTATGCTATCTGTAAAACGATTATAATTGCAGTTACTGCAACGTTATATTGTAGAACATACACATTCTTTAAAAGTTGTACTTATATAAGATTTTATGAGCAAATGTTAAAAGTGAGTATCGTGTTATATTGTTATTTTATTAAGATATATGATGTTATAAAGTAAAAAATTATAAAATTATTAATATATTAGGTTTTTTGTATTAATGTAGGAAAATGTATTTGTGGTGTTTTTAATGGCTGTATTTTAAAATCTTTCCAATGTTACCCGTTGTGTACAGTGGTTTTAGGAGACAGAACCATAGTATTGCACTGAAGAGGGACTTGACATTTATATAAGTCTGAAATGCGAATGTCGAAACAATAAAAGAAGTGTCTAATCTGAAAACTGTAATGATAGTCTACCGAACTTAATGTCGAATTAAAGAGAGAAGACATACATAGAACATAATAACAGCTATCCAAAAGTGATATTACTAACTTATTTGATATGTTTATAATTCTAAATAATTTTGAAACAAATTGCAAAATATATGTGTTTGTTTATTCAGAAGAATTATTGCAAGACATTCCATCAACAAGTATTTGGAAGGGAAAAAATTGTGGGCAACAAAATTACAAAACTGTTTTGTTTAATTAATTTAAGAATTATTTATAAATAAATACTACTTGAAGAAAAATTTGGGAAAAAAAAACTTTTCAGAAATGTCAGGATTCAA